CATTCAGGTCGACTGCAGATCGTGAGAAACTGAAGTGTGACTGCAAGCCAGCTTAACTGATCCCTAAAGTGTTCTGCCCATCGATTCAATCTCCTGGATTGAGAGAATAATATGTCCATCTTTTTCCGAGATAGTTTCGCTAACAGTTGGATTCCTAGTACCGGTTTCCTTAACAAGTCTGAACAGTTGTCTGCTGTCACCTATTGCCGCTGACTTTTCATCTCTTACGTGTAGTTTAGAGCGTGGTTTCAGGAGACCAGGACTAACGTTCCGCGTACTCGAATCGTTCGCACTAGCGGGGCGAGGTGATAAAGGGACGTGAGAAGGGTTAGTCGTGGAGATAAGAGAGTTATTAGAAGGTGTAGGAAGGATTTGAATGTGACAAACCTGGTCTCGTGTGCTGTTACGGGTATGAGGGCTGATGTCACTTCCCGGCTGCCCACACGGTGGAAGGGTATTTCTTAAGGAACCTGAAAAGGAAATCAAATTAGTGTTGGTCTTGAACACCTGGGAGCGTTACCACAGAGCCCAAGGGACAACTGCTTGAGGCCGGTCGCGTACGGTCTTTTCGTGGGAGGTGTTTAATGTGTTAGCTCCGTTCTTCAAAGGGCCTTACCGCCGGAGACAGAAATCCGTGGGGTAAGGTGAGGTGTGACATTTTTAGAGTCAACCTTTTCTAACCCCTTCCTTCCTTGTCAGAAGGCAGCATCGCTGCAGATGCTGGTTGTCAGAAGGGAAACACCTTACTGCTGTCACACCTCTGTACAGTCCGCAGTACGACTTTGCCCTCAGACCTTGATTTGCTGCTTTTAGTCTTACCGTCCCTCAATCGACCTGGCATGGTAGAACCTACAGGAACATATCTTCCAGCCAACATAGCTCAGTTGGGCAAGCCCGACCACCACGTCAAGGTAGCAGCTACGGTTGGGAATAAAACGAGAGATATTAGATAATTATTAAAAACTTGCAAGAAACTTCATCTGTTCGTCAAAAAAAAGAAAATCATCATCTTTAATATATTAAAAAGGAATACATTTCATTTAATTTGAACAAATGAAAAACACTTGAGAGAAATTTATCTGTTAGTAATGAAAATTTAATGAGAAATAGTAATATTGATTGGACACTTAAGAGTGTACACAATAGTCGAACAGAAAACAAGTAAAAAGGTTAACAAAGTAAATAAAAATCCTAATAATTACATAGTTCTTTGACTAAGTCATTCAAATTTTTCTGACATACATAAATACGTACATAAACATTCTTAAAAATCAGTTGTTTTGTTATTTCGAAAAGAATTACATAATATTATATTAATTTTTGTTTGGGCACAATGAAGACCAATCGACTTCAGGCATTATACACCAATTTGGAGAAGTTTTTGTAAGTCGTTTATTAGGACAACTAAAATCATCAACTTCACTCCATAAATTACTATTAATTGATAGACCAGCTGTAGATAAATCTTGTTCAAGTGATTTATAAACAAGTTGATATGGAGCTACTTTTAAATTTGTACATTGTTCAATGATAGGTCGACTAGCCATATGTAATCCAAGTCGACAATTGGATGTTTGATGTATTCTTAATTGACGACAAGCAAATACTAAATCACAATTAATACATTCATCAAGCCATACTGAACCTGAAATAGGATAGGCATAAATTTTACAATTTTTTAAACGACGACCAATTAAACTACCAAATACATGACATATTTCAATTGTACAATCTATTAAATCAATCAAGTAAACAGTTTGTGAAATAAATGAATCCGATGAACAATTGACATTTGGTATAATAAAATGTTTAGGGCCAGTAATATTGATCAAACTGAAACGTTCATCATAAATTACTGAGTCATTATTGTTCTGGGCAACAATAAGTGACGATTTACAAGTTGAAGATTCTGGGTGATATTCACTTTTATTTACATTTTCCTGTTTCTTAGTTGCTTGTTGACGTGAAAAACCAAATTTCTTATTAGGTAATAATTCTGTTCTTTTCTCTTGAAATAGATCATTTAAATTCTAAATAATAAAAAAAAACAAGAGATTAATACACATGAACATGTTAAATAAAAACAATTATTACTATAGGATGCTGTGGAGTTGTTAAATGTGAATTTTCACATCATAGACTGACTTTGTTTAGACAACTGCTGAAAATAAGGAAGCAAGAGAAGGAAACTATGGCGACAGATGAATATCGCGCAAGACCACTAATTAACTAAGGTTAGGAATCCAAACCACTCGATTCTAAATCAATAATTTGAATGCTAAACGCTCACTGAGACCACTGAGGGCCCACATTACGATCCCGGAAAGTATCCTATCCCTCACATAAATCGAATGAATTATGTGGCGCATATCTGTTTGGTGCATCCTTGTTCCAATGTTTGTGTTCAAATAAAAAAACAAATAATGGTTGCTTAAAGCCAAAAAATGGTAGAGCAGTATTTCAATATGTGCTATTACCACTAAGTTACTGATACAACTTTTAAGTGGAACAGCATAAACATATAGTCAAAAACTAACCTTTAACTCTAAACGTGCTTGTTCATTATCGAATGAAGTAAGATACATTGACGTTTCATTCAACCAATTCTGCATATGTTCTAAACGGGCTAAAACGTCATCCATAAACTATAGGGTAGGAGAGTGAAATATAAACGATTAGATATCACACATATAACGTTAGTCATAGTGAATAATGTGAATCGTTAGTCGTACGCAACGAAGAACTTTGCACATATGTATATCATTCAACTTGCCACAATACAGCACAGTGAAATGCAAGATTAGTATATGTAAAAACAGTATTATTGGAAGTAGAAAAGATTTGGAACAAAAGAGATGGTTAAGCAGAATGTATGGGTTCGTGGAATAAAAAAAATTAAGACGATTAAGGCACCTAAGTTGTAAGAGAAGGCAAACAGTAAGGGAATATATGCAAATGAAAATGAATCTGATCCATGTCACCCAAAGTCTCTGACCAAATTGTCCTCATAATCGCATGGATTCCAATAGTCACGACCTATAAACATGGCGTAATTCAGCAGAAAGTGGCTTCAATGGCTTGTCATAATACTGGATTGCCCACCCTCACCTGTATCCCAACCTAGGTCTACACCAGCAATCATCGTGCGTCAATGTAGGCTGTGGTTAGCCATACATAATCAGTCAGCTGCAACTTAGGACCAGGCACATATATGCATCGGTCCAAGTTGCCATACCACATTAGCTCAAACAAGATGAACACCAGATTCATAGAAGTAGTCACATCAAAGGTAGTAGAATATAAAAGAAAGATTGTGTATAAGGATATAATACAGGAAGAAAGAATTAGTTCGTAGAAAGAAAGACATGAAGCGATTTTAAACTCTTAGTTTAAGGGAAGACAGAGAGTGTATACACCGACGCCATTGTGATCTATTCTGAGCCATGTCACCAAGAGTCTCCAACCATTGGTTACGATAGTCACGCGGACCCCAACCAAGTAGTCTGCATCTACCAACACGACTCAGACTAGAAACTAGTGACTTCAAGCACTGACGCCACGTTTTGATTTGGCCACCCCTAACATTCTTAGAACCATCCCCAATACTACTCAGCATTGTGCGTCGTGGTAATCGGTGTTCAGGCATACGCAACACATGGCCCAACCATCTCAGTCGATGAAGATTCATAACCTCATCGACTGATTTACCATCATCCCCTGCATCTAACCTCCCTATTACTCACCCGGTGATCCCAGCAGATACCCACAATATTTCTAAGGCTCTTGTGGTCAAATACTAGTAGCTTACGAGTATCTTCTTCTCTTAACGGCCACATTTCGCTGTCGTAAATTAAATCAGAACGAACTGCCGCGCAGTATACTCGTCCCTCAATTGATAGACGAATATCTCACCTTCGCCATAGATGATGTAAGTTGGCAAAAACCAAACAAGCCCATCGAATCCGTGCTGAGATTTCGTCAGACACCAACCCATTAGGGCTGATCAGACTTCCAAGATAAGTGAAGTTGTCGACGTGTTCGACTACTTCACCCCCTATCCTTAGTTCAGGTGTTGACGCAGACCAGTCCTGAAGCAACAACTTGCATTTGGAGGGAGAGAAGCGCATCCCAAACATTCTGGCATTGTTGCTCAGTGCTTCCTAAAGATTCTGCATTTTATCAGCGTCTTCACCAAACAGGACTATGTCATCTGTGTATTTTAAGTCGATAAGTGGACCTCCTGATAGGAGATCAATTCCCGAAAATTCAGTCGACGAGAATGTTATTTTAATCAGTAGGTCTATGATGAAGTTAAACAAAAATGGAGAAAGTGGACAGCCTTGACGGACACCACTTGAGGTTGCAAAAGCAGATGACAGTTCGCCATAAGCTCTGACTCGACTAGTAGTGTTCGAGTAAAGAGCCTTCACAAGGTTTATGTACTTCTGAGGTACGCCTTTCAATGACAGACACTGCCACAGAACCTCTCGGTCAACAGAGTCAAATGCTGCTTTTAAGTCAAGGAAGACGACTGTTGTCGGACATCGATAAGTATGCCTGTGTTCTAGAACCTGACTAACGGTGAATATGTGGTCTATACATCCACGACCAGGTCTGAAGTCAGCTTGATTCTCTCGTGTTTGCAGTTCACGAGTCTTAGTTAGGCGTCCTATAATTATCGAGGCTAGTTTTTTAGATATTATATTAGTTAAACTAATCCCTCTATGGTTGTCACAGGATGATTTTGACCCTTTCTTATATATTGGGACGATAAGTGATTGTGACCAGTCAGAGGAGATTGTGTCCAACTCCCAGATTTTAATTAAAATATTAGTCAACCTAATCGCTAAAACTAGACCACCTTCCTTGAAGACCTCTGGGGCCAATCCATCTGGACCAGCTGCCCTTCCTCGTTTTAGATTAACTATAGCCTTTTGAACTTCAGCTGGAGTTGGAGGACTTGTGATTAACCTAGATCTGATTTGTTTTCGCTCATCATCGTGTTCAGAGCCTGATGGGATGAGTACGCGAATCCATCAGTGCAATAGACCTTGAAGAAATCCATTGGTACTTAGTAACCCTTTGGTTTAAGTCATTAGTAGATGTCAGTGCTGTTTCCACAGCTGATGGTATATCTTTCTGAGCAACATCTGGATCAGCCTCATTTTCAGAACTACCTAAGTGTGACCTCAGTTGTTCCCGGAACCTACTTTTGCTTTCCTCGTTACTCAGTTCAGTTCTATTGGGTCCTTTTAATGTGGCTTTTTTGCGTCCAGTAAGGCGCAAGCACATGCCTGCTCGTATTAGGGCATGGTCGGAGTCCACACAGGTACTCCAGAATGAGCGACAATCTTCTATTGACCCTCTCCAACGATGACTGATGGCAATATGGTCTATTTGAGTCCATCGTTGATATGGTGTAGGGGGTCGCCATGTTAGACAGTGTCTCTCCTTAAGCTTGAAATTTGTGTTTGCTGAAAATAAACGGTTGTCTGAGCACAGTTGCAGCAGACGATCACCATTATCTGTTCTCTGTGCCGGAATAATAAAATACCCACCTAAATGTCTTTCTGTTTCGTTTAAGCTACCTACCTGGGCATTAAAGTCACCTGCTACGAGTACTATGTCTGAACGTTTAGCCATACATAACAAACGTTGCGACAACCTCAGTTGATGAGGATTTACTACCTCGTCAATCGAATTGCCATGCTTATCTAGTATTCTACACCTGACCTCTTCACTTCTCTGTCAGTGGTCCTAACATACACGAGCAACGATTCCAAGATATAGATAGTCAGATACAAGCAACCTATGAATGTTCACAATTAGTAAATGCCACATAGGACTATCATAAATTAAAAAAGAGAGAACTGTTTAACAGTATACTCGCCCTTTGACAATTAGACGAATACATCGCCCACGATACTTAAGACATATGTCAGCAAAAGTCAAACGATATTTTGTTAAACACCAACTTGAATGGATTGCTCGAAGCGATCAGCATCTTCACTGAATAGGACTGTCATCTACATCGAAATCAACACACGAGAATCTCTTAGTAGGAGATTAATGCCTGAAAATTCACATGAAAAGGGCATTATCCTCAAAAGAATGTCCCTGAAAAAACTGAATAAAAATGGAGAAAGGGGATAAACCTGACGACCACCATTTGATTTTATCAATTCGGATGACAGTTCCCTATAAGCTCTAACTTAACCGGCGGTGTTCAATTATTCATTGATTGGGCCCCCATATAGTTATGAATGACTCCCTACATCCAAAGCAACATATCTGAGGAGATACCGTAGTGAACGAAAACTCAGATGGGGAGAACCAATTTATTGTTTTATGCAAAATAACAGAGCTTTCGTAGAATATGAAAACCACACATCAAATACGTAATTTGCACATCTCCCTTCAGTTGTCCTTTAAATGCTTCATGATTCGTTCAATTCTTATTATTGCATTTACTTTCTGTTTTCTTCAGTTGAATCTATCCAATTTTCTTCAGATATACGTTACACTTCCGATTAGCGCCACTACTGTCAACATAAGTAGCATAAATCACGATACTATTGATGCGAGAATGGATCTAATACGATTGAATAAATCGAATAACTTACAAACGACAGTTCGCCGACACAATTATATCCCTATACATAAAGAGAATACTGGGGTATTTACACGGTAGCCTTAATATCTTACTTGGTCATTTGAGCATGAGTACCAGTAGGAAGGAACATTAATTACACGGGGAATTTTATTATTTGTATTACGCGTTAACAGGTGTCCAAGATAACAATCTATAATAATATTTCTAATATTTGGTGACAAATTTCAGCGAATATATTACAGTAGACTATTGTATACTACAACAATATGGAAAAGAAAATACTGAATTTGACAGATTAGATTTTTCAAAAATAATCTTGTATTTAACACCACACAATTGATAAAACAACACTTAACTACAGATAGCACATGATATAAATGAATACTAACCTGAGTACGTTCATTTATTGGTAAATCATATCCTTGTATTTTTTTGGTCATATCTTCTAGATCTGTAACAATAGCTAATTTGTATTGAGTGAAATGTTGTAAAAAATTTTCATGAATATTTCCATTACCACGTGAATCAACATTTTTTCGTTGACTATTAACAACTTGACTCTGTGTATGACGTTCATTTAAACGATCTAATACAGTTTGACGATTATCATTGACATTTGATGAGAAACTTTTATTTTCTGAAAATTTCTGATTGGAACTCATTATTCACAGTGCAATATGTTCCAAAAAGTGAGGTATTTCTTCTAAAACAATGAGTAATACATAACATATCGATGCACTAACGAACATCATTTTCAATTCTACTCTGTGCCAGTTAAAACGATAACAGAATAAAAAGACAGCTTGGTAACAATGGACAAATCCATACATTTGAATTCGGGTCACACAACTTGTGTGTGTCACTGATACCAATCAATGTATCCAAACTCAAACAGGTGGAATGTCTCTTGAAGTTACGTTAATGGTAAGAAGCCGAATGGCTTAACTATTTAGTTACCATCTATTGGATAAAATAGATAGTTCAATATACTTTTTTACAATTTTTAATCTGTGCACTTTCAATAAGGTTTCAGTGGTACACAGTGAACTCTATACATGTAATCGGTACGAAACTCTTTTCATGATCCTTTCAAATGCACACAAACATTTGTAATACATTGAACTTTCTGAGTATACTACTTCATAATTATTGTTCAAAGTTAATATGAACTGGGAATACACAAATAGATGATAACATTAGGGTTGTATATTGTTCTGCAATAAAAATACGGCTACAGGACAGAGAACTATTGTTAAAAAATTAACCAGAAGAAAGCATTTCAAAAGTAAATATAGATGGAAACTCGAATTTAAAAAATTAACAACGTTCATTCTATTGTACCTACTTTGCAAAGATAACTAATTGCCAACGTCTGTGCACCAATATCCAGAACACAGAGGTCAACTGAATTTAGGTCAAACACAAATAACGTAGGATAAATATGCATTAACCCTCAAGTTACTTTAACATAAAAGAGTACATATAAGTGGAATATATAAGATGAAACAAAGGAGAAGGAATAGCACTAATGGTAATGAAAAACTAAAAAGAAAAGGGAGTAAACAAGATCCGAGAATGACTATTATGAAATGATACTAAAGACTTATGGTAAAAAGGAAGATGAATACATCTCTGGCAGTGAAGATTAATTTGGTTCCCAATAATGATTAATATAACTCAAACAACGAAATCTGCACTTGGCAATAACACTCAGATTAACTGAGACAGACTTCATGGACTAGTATCAAGTCTTGGTATGACTAGTCTGCTCAAACGTTTGGACTATCTATTTTCCAACTAAGCAAATATTGCAATAAACCCTTGTTTTAGATTCATTTAAATAAAATAATTACGAATCGCATTAGTGTACTTTTGCAGTACTATGAATAACTTACAACCTGTTATGATGCTAAATGCTGAATGTCTTAAACTGAAACACTACATTTGTCGGTATATTCCCCTCTTTTTCTACCCTGTTAAAGAAATCAAGAGATTAATATATATTGGGATTCATGCACTTCATATCTAACGGGTGAGGAAAATAGATGTAGCACCAGAGAACTGATAGTAAACTTTCAGCATTGATGAATGGGAGATGACTAGTGGGAACCACATATAAAATACTTTTTCCGAATAATTACAATTGGATTTGTGTTAAGGGGAAATTTATTGCAATATTGTATGGTTGATGTTCAGAATCCCTTGCCGTGACCTAATTCATAGTAGTGAATAAAACTATTATTACTATAGTTATGGGAAAATCTATAATAAAAAGAATAACAAATAGAATTATGGTAACTGTGGATTCTAAATAGATGAGCAAACCTCCTTGTAGATTAATTCCTGAAAAATTAGATGAAGAGCTTGTGCTTCCCATGACAAAACCAAATAAAAAAGGGACAGCGGACGACACTGATGAACACCATTAAAAGTTCACAATTTCGATAAAAGCTCGCTATAATCTGTGATTAGACAAATAGCGGTCGAGTAGAGCCGTCACAAGGTATACGTGCTGTTTTGGTAGGCATCTCGATGATAAACACTACCACAGAACCACTCAATCAAAAGGGTCGAATACTGCATTAAGGTTTAAAAACGAAACTATATTTGAGTGTGGCTAAATGTCCGAAAATCCTAAGAGCGAACGTTGGTTTTACATATTCGTATCCAGGTCTAGAACTAGCCTAGTTTTCTTTAGTTTGCTGTTCACAAGCTCTAGTAAAGCTCTGGATGATTATTGAGGATAGTATTAAAAACACTATGCCAGCCAAACCATATTACCTACAACAACAGTGTAAATCAGATAACTCAAAACCTTAATAACCGACACCGAAAACAAATCGTTTTCAAGAACTAGTTTGCAAGTATTGCTTTCATCAAAATGGCAACAATTCCCATAACTTCAGAATTTGAGTCTAGTAAGAATAAGAATGCAGCACACCAATCGTGTACCCATTCAAATAGAGAAAAGGAATTACAAAATATAGAAAAATTCACGAACTTCTGACAACCTTTGAGGAAACAAAAACACTACAGCATCTGGTAGGTTGTGTGCAGGAGAAATGTTCACTACATTATCATTGGTGGTGACACAGGATATTTTATTTATATCGACATGCATTTATAAAACTGTTAAGGGTTTTGCTAAAATTGACAGATTGAAGACAAATTCTACATAACAGTCGCTGATTTTGTTTTTTATTGAGTGCTGGCTAAGGTTTATAAATTAAGGAAACTGATGGGAGCAAAAGAACCCATTCCCAATTTTCTTCAACAGTCCAAAACAAATGAGGAAATCCGTAAGACCGCTAATTAACATGTAAATTAGGGCATTGTGTTTTAACAAATATATTTGGACATCGATAAATTCTTGATACAACTGTTTTATGAATAAATGTCTATCTACAATACTATAAATACCATTGTATATTGTTATCGTCTTTCATCGATTAAAAACCGTTACAGAACCCGTAGACAAAATTTGAAAACCAAGTGCTTCTGAATCCTTAACCACCTGTGGATGTACAAGCTGGTTATTACACTACCGTGGTTCGTGTGTGTACAGTTTTGGATGCACTATATCAAACTTCACATTCATGTGTCACATAAATCAGCCAGCTAGTTTGATTTCATAAAAAAGGATGTGACTTAGAGAGATGATAAAAAAGCCCATTTAATCATATGATAGGTCCTACTATTACAATCATTTGATTAGTGATATATTTTGATCACAATGATAACGATGGTGGATAGAGATCTTAGGAACATTCATCTATATGAATTGAATTTCATTCAAATTAGTCAACTTAGACACTGAAATTAGTCAAAAGAAATCTGTAACTTGAAGCTATTGCCATAATACGATGTTAGATTAAAAAATATCAATCTATAAAATGTTACAAGCTGCTTTTCATCTCAAAAAAATAACATGAATCGGTCGATTTTATCATTTAAAAAGCCTACGAGATAGAACAAACTGGTGATTTAATAGTTCTCAGAAAGGGGTTTTTATGGATATTATAGTAATTTAGTAGTTGAGTACAGCAGTGCGCATCCACAATCCCATTCCGCGTTACTTGAACCCAGGACCTATCGGTCTCGTGCGCGAACGCTTAACATTTAGACCACTGAGCCGATAACTTGTTGTGAATTTTGAAGTAACAACCATCACTGTCCCGTTTTTTATATCAAGAACGGCTTCGATTTTAAATGGTGATAATTTGAACCGATAGCTCCCGTATATCA